AAAAAAAAAAAAAAAAAAAAAGTATACAACTGGAGTCAGGATACAAAGTGATTCTTGACTACTTCGGCTAAGCAGGGCTTTGTTATGTATGTGAGCTGTGGAGCACATCTGACCAGGTGCCCAGCACAGGTGGGAAGTCTATGGAGATTTGTCACTCAAGACTTCATCTGAGTAGGATGGTCTTCAGAAGGCCGCCTGGTTTGTTTTGCATTGTACTCCATGGGTTATTTCTATTTATTTCTCTCTTAGGGCAGTTTACCACTTCATGTTGCTATGTTAGGTGTTTTGTTTTGTGGAAAAATGTTTTCAGAAAAGATTCTTTGTATTTAATTGAGACTCCAACAAGGAGGTGGTATAGCAAAGCAGAGACGGAATCTGTGGGCCGGTGAAGAGCCTGGCCTCACGCTGCAGCGGACAGTCTACCTGCTGGGACAGCAGAGCTGTGGGAGAAGAGGCAGGTAGGATAGTAACACAGTGATGGGAGTCGTGGACATTCTCTTCCGACTGCTTCTCTTTTCTCAGAGAAAAGAACCGAGGCTATCAACGGAAAGTGATGATGGAGGGGAGTCGTAAAAGGTTTGAGGGAAGACAAGACGGTATGGAGGTCCCCAAGGAGAGCAGAATATGTAGACTGAGTGCATTAAATTCATGTGATAATGAACTTAAAGTGAAGTCACCAGCACAGCTGTGGTTTTTCTCCAGCCACGACGGGCACAGGAGGTGATGGCACAGAGAGGGCATCAGGTGGGATTTAACCAGGGCTGCTTGGGCAAAAGGAAGAAGGGAAAGAGGGGCAGGACAGTTAAGGACGATCCCCCTGCTGACCCATCTGAAATGGCCCTCCCTCTAAAAACACATGCACTGTCTATTCCCCTTTTCGGCTTGCCTTTTCTCTTTAGCATTTACCACTGTCACAGTATATTTAATTTCTCTCATTTACTCTCTCTCTGCCCTGTTGTGAAATCTCCATGAAGGCAAGAATTTCTGTCTGTTTTGTTCAGGGCTGCTGTCTTTTAAAAGGTACGATTCCGTGCTGGATGACGGCAAAGCAGCTACTGTAGTCTCTGTGGCTGCCCGTCCCCAGCCTGCCCTGTGGCTTCACAGAGAAATGACTGGCTGGTGTGACACCCAGCAGCTATTTTTAAAAGACTGAGTGGTTTGGATATAATTTTGATCTTTAAAACCAGTAACATGAGTAAGATTTATATTATGAAAGTTATCTCTGCCATAGTGTGGGAAATGGATTCAAGAGAAAAGGGACTGGGGTTCCAGAAACCTACCAGGAAGCTGTGCAGTAATCCAGTAAGAGCTGAGGGTAGCCTAAACTAAGGTAGGGGTAGTGAGGGCAGAGGCAAATGGATTTGAAAAACATTAAGGAGGAAGGATCAGCCAGATTGGATGCCTGTGGAGACTGAGGAAAGGAGAGGGAGAGAAGCCAGGGCAACCTGCTCTTCCATCACCCTACGGACCACGCCAGGTTGTTTTCAAGGTCCTGACTACTGGAAACTATAGGGCTACTTCCATGGTATCTGAATTCTGGCTAATAATACTATTAAAAATTCCACATGAAAAACACAATTTCCAGTGTTCAAAAGAATTAAGATGCTTTCATGACAGGCAGCAGTACTGATGGGACAGGACTCATTCCAGTAGCTGCTTTACATCTATTATATACAAGGCTACCTCTGTTCTGCTTGCTTAGAAAGCAGGCACTGCATCCCAGAGCTCAGGTGGAAGGGACTCCTCCTGGTCTTGTACCACCAGCTAGTAAACCCCTCTAAGAAAACCACATTTCATTAATTCTCAAACAAATCACCTGTAAGCATTTACAGACTACTTATCACCTCCCCAACACCATGTTATGGACTGCATGTTTACATTAAGTATTTATGTTCATATATGCATATTAATTCAACAAGCATGTGCCAGTGACTGCTGGTGGCCTGGTGCCCGCGGACACATATACGCAGCTCCCAGAGGTCTGTGGTGTCTGACTGACGTGTTCTTACTGAGGTTTCAGAACAGGAGTTCAACAATAGCTGGATAAATAATTCCAGCCACACTGTTTGTGTGATGTTTTCTCTTCTGAAAGTATATTATAAGTACTGCTTTAAAATTTTTTTTCACTCATTCCCAGTGGCTACATCCTGGACTACGCATCTCTTTATCATCAACGGTCCTCACAGTAATTCTGAGAATGGAACAGCACTGAGAGTCTATAAGTTGAGAAATGAGTTTCACTGTAAGGCAGTGCTGTGAGTGTCCTAGGAACTCAAGCCTCCTAGCGAGTAGTCTCTTGAACAGTGGGGCACACTATACGCTATCATGTTTCACAAGTTCAACCACATGTCAGAAACTAAAATTCTGCAGGAAGAACCAAGGTTGGAAGGAGAGTTTGGCCTGGCTTTCATTCACTCATTAATTCATTCAACAAATATGTTCTGAGTATCCCCTTGGGCTGGACCTTCTTTCAGGGTCTAGGGGCAAAGGCCCCAGTGGAGAACACAAGAGACAAGTTACTTTATGGAGCTGACATTCTCTTCAGGGATGAAAGAAAATAAAAAACGTAAGTAAAGAAATAGAAAGCGTAATCACTGATAGTGGTGAATGCTATAAGGAGAAACAAAGGTGGGTAATGGGATGGAAAAAAGGGCAAGGCTTTGTCTTACGCATCTTTGTGTTTCTAGCATTTGGCAGATGCTTAGAAAAGAGTGGTCACTCACATATTTGTTACATAAATTAAAGTGAGACTTTAGGCATCTGCTTTTGTTTCTGGAAATACTTGTATAAACCTGCAAACTAAGGTATTAGGTACTTTAAATTTCAAGGTGTGGTTCTGGGCTTAGAGTGAAGAGATAGAGAGCCAGGATGCTAATAATCCTGCTGAATACTCTTAAAGGTGTACTAAAACCCCCAATCCAAGCAAGTGTGGATATTTTTAGTTAAGTTTACTAATACAATAAAGCAAGTATGTAAAGTATTAATGAGCTCCTATTATTGCAGAGTTAATATGTAATTTTAATAATCTACATGCTATATCTAATACAACAATAAGATAAAATTAAACTGATTTATTAATTTGTTTTCTGAGAACTATGGAAAAATCAAATGTAATGGGACGCACAAAGGCGGTAGCACTGCCTTTTTCTTAAACTTGATGCAAAACATCTGCCAGGTGACAAAAGCATTGTCTGAGTAGATTTATAGCTTCTAGTCATCAAGGCATACTGGCTGACGGAAAAGCTGAGTTAGAAAATGGGAAAAACCTTCACAGGACACCCTCAGTCCCTCACTAGGCCAGACGTATAGGTACAAAGTCAGCTCCAGTTTTCAGGATTCTTTAAGATCTCAGCCAATACACAGATACTTTTTCATCTCCCACTTCAACACTGTGATACAAATAAACCAAAGTAAGGCACTCCGGCCCATTAGAATACCATATTCTCATAGCGAGGCCTAGGACGCTACATTATTAGTTGCTTCAAGGTAATCTAGTCATTTTTAAATGTTGTCTTGAAGCAGTTTTGAGGCCCTAGCTAGAGACTGGTCAGTTTCCCTTCTTGAGCAGCTGATTAAATCCACACGCCCAATATGGTTAAAACACAAGGGTATAGCAGCAAATTTCCTTTAGCTAAGAAATAACATTAAAATCAACTGCCAATGTGTCTTAATTAGAAGTAATATGTTTTATAATAAGTGCAACATTGATTCTAATGACCCTGATGTTAATTCCCTGCAACAGTTCCAAATTGATTTATTTTATAGCTACAGTTGATTTCACCTTCCAGGATGCTCTAATTGACTACAGATGCATGTACAGTCCCTATAAGAAAAAAGTTACCCAAAGCCTAGTTTTCACCAAGATACATTATTATCATATATTATTGATATCAGATATATCAATCACTGTGCCAAATGAGGTGCGCTATTCTTAAAGAGTATGGTTAGATTCACTAAAGGTAGATTAGGTTATTCAGATTAATCAATTCATTAAAAACTCTACAACACTTCAAAAGCATTAAAGAGATAAAATACAGCGAAAAGTTCTGAGGTAATTTTTGAACAAAAGCTTGTAATGAGAAAAAGATGCAGAATATCGGAGCACCAATGATTTCTGTGCTGTGGGAAGCATTTATAACTCCCCACATTTAGGTTTTGACCTGTTGAACATTTAAGCCTAATTATATCACTTTGCTTGAAGCCCTCTATAGCATCCCATCTCATTCAGCATAAAAGCTCAAGTTCTTTTTGGGCAGGGGTCAGCAAACTTTTTCTTAAAGGCCTAGAGGGCAAATATTTTAGACTTTGCAGGCCAAACAGATTCTGTTGCAATTATAGGACATTATTATGCTGAACCTATATGCAAATAGTATTAAGATTCTAAACTGCCATATCCAACAAAAAACAAATTTTGTGGAATATTCATAAAATTTACAAAAATACACAGTATCTGTTTTGGTTGATAATGCTTAATATTTTTTATAGTTCAATAAATATTTGCTGAATAAAACATAAATACAAGGTCCAGAATTATACATTTTTACAAAAAGATTATGGCACTGACCTTAAACTAGAGGTTAATTTCTTCTGTAAAATGTATCAGACAATTAACCGTGACTTACTTCAGGTTACTGATTCTAATTTCAGCACTTTCAGTAAGTTTCTTCGTTTCTTCTTTCCACCTGGTGGCTGCCTTCTGTTGAGTTACTAAGAGATGCCTCAGTTCAACAGTGGAATTGCGATTACTGTCTTCCATCTCTCTCAGCTGAACTTCAAACCCGTGCTCCTTTATTGAAAATTCATGTTCCATGGTACTGATCTAGGGAATAAAATGAACACGGTATCTTCTTTCTCTTTTCTGTTACTGCGAGGGACATACTGACCAACAACACAAACAAAGGGAATATTCATCGTGTTGTCTGTAGCACGTAAATGTTTGGATCAGAAATCCATATAAAAATTGTTTACAATTTGTTTTTGTCACAAATGAAGACTTATCCTGTATGACAGTAAACATCCAGTGAAACGAGAATCATGATGGATCACAAATTTTTTACAGCACTTTTCCCAACACTGTAAAATGCCAGTAGAAAAAAATATACCCTATAATATAAAACTGCTCTCAGCCTTTACTTTTACTTTTGTTGCCATAATCCATGGAAAATGTTTATGCTTTCAGTCACTGAGAGTTAGGTTTTTACTCAAGCCATTTAAAAAAATGTTTACTGGTGTACTGTAAAGGATACAACTCAGGGACAGCCAGATGGAAGAGATACACAGGGCATGGTATAAGATGTAGGGGCTGTGAATTACCATGGCGTAGGGTGTAGGGGCTGTAGGCTCCTGTGGTTTAGGGTGTAGGGTGTAGAGGCTTTGGGCTCCCATAGCGTAGGGTGTAGGGGCTGCAGGCTCCCATGGTGTAGGGTGTAGGGGCTGTGGGCTCCCATGGTGTAGGGTGTAGAGGCTTTGGGCTCCCATAGCGTAGGGTGTAGGGGCTGCAGGCTCCCATGGTGTAGGGTGTAGGGGCTGTGGGCTCCCATGGTGTAGGGTGTAGGGGCTGTGGGCTCCGACGGTGTAGGGTGTAGGGGCTGTGGGCTCTGATGGTGTAGGGTGTAGGGGCTGTGGGCTCCCATGGTGTAGGGTATAGGGGCTGTGGGTTCGCATGGTGTAGGGTGTAGAGGCTGTGAGCTCCCATGCCCTCTCCAAGTGTACCACCCCCCAACCACTTGATGTGTTTACCAACTCAGGAGTTCCTCCAGTCACTTTTGATTAATATACTAAATTTTAGATTGTCTTTCAAAGGGTTTTATGAAATCAAAGAATATTATACACAGGAATTCCTTTACCATTTCAGGTACAATATAAATACTTTGTTTTGTTTTTCAGGAAAAAAAGACTGTAATAATGATTCTGAGAATCTCTTATGGAACTAAGTTCAGAATATGTCTAGGTAGTGCATGTCATAGTAAAAACACCTAATGCAGAATGAACACACGAGTAAATGCTCTTGGGATACCCTAGAAGCTTCCTCAGATAGGACCCAGGGAGAATGAAGCCCTGGTGTCCTCAGGTATGTAATGAGGTGCTCCTCTTGTGCACATCTGGAATAAACTACCTGTGACCAGCCTGGAGGCAACTAAGAAAATGGTGGTTATGACAGCCTCCTTGGTGTTTTCTCAGGACATCTTTATCTTGCTACACTATAGAAATGTTATAAAGGATACCCAACTTTGTGATATTTTAAAGTATTGTGCTTTAAACATGGTCATGGCTGGCATGGCTTCTGGTAATTCATTAAATATGGCCACTTTCAAACTCGAAAAAGAACAAACAAGGGACACAACTTTCCAAATTCAAAAAACACCAGAGAATACCCAACAATAGCAAAATCCATGGCTCATGGGTCCTCACCACCCCTGCTGAATGCAACACGCTCCCTAGAACTCTTAAGTTTGCTTTCTCAAATAGTACAGGGACAGGAATTTAAGACCTTATGAATATAGGCATGGAAATCACATTGATTTCTTAATTTTGTACTGCATTACTGCTGGGCAAGCCTCCCGAGGCACCCTGATACCTGCTATCTTAATAATGTTTGAATTATTAGATTCTGAACAGAGATTTGAATATGCTCCTCCTTCCATTGCCTCAATCTCCACTTTCTCTGGAGAAGCCCTGGTTGTGATGTCTTAGGCGGAATCATCTCTTTTTCTTTTACACATTTTAAAAAAGTGATCTAAGCATCTATCTAGTTTTAGAATTCTGCCTACCAAGTTAAGTCCCCCTACTGCCACCTGGGAAATCTACTTGTGACAAGCCTTGCCCTAGGGTCCTTCTTGATAACCTGGTCTCTGCCTGCTTCTCCAAGCCTGTGCTTTGCCACCATCCCCTTTCTTCGTTTCTGCCACAGTGCCTTCTCATTCTTGGGTCCTTTTCACTGTTCCCCTGGCATGGAATAGTCTTTCCCTTTCTGCATGTCTTGGTTATTTCTTTCAACGTTTAGAACTCAGCCCAATTATTGCTTCTATAGGGTAATTCTCTTACTACATATCCAGACAAAGTCAAGTCCCTCTCTATAAGCTCTCACAGTGCCCTATGCCTTTTCTAAAAAGTCTGTAAGTAGATGTTTAAAGTTTGCCCACCTCCATGAACATTATAAGTTTTTAAGGGTGGGGACCACATCTTTTTGTTTACTATTGCCCCTTTAGGACCTGAAACATAGTAAGGTTGCTAAAACACAGCTATAGGTTGAATAAGTGATGGCTTTTGGGTGTCAAAATTGAGTCTTTAAACAAGCCCCAGATCCTTTAGTGGATGCAACTGTGCTTGTTAAACTGGAGAGGTCTGCGGTGACACTAGAAGGCCAAGGGCGATAACTGGGCCTCCTATAACAGAAGTCCCACTAATGATGGACTTCAGAGTGCTATAGTCCCCCTCCCATCCTTTGTGCCCTCCTATCTGTTGGGTAAGTAGCCAGGATTATTTAGTATAGTATATATGTATGTCCAACTTTAAAAGATACTGCCGAGTGGTGGTTTTACCAATTTACATTCCCAAAAGTGTCATATGAAAGTTCCAGATGCTTTACAACTTTGTCAACACTTGATACTGTTAGTTTTCAAATTTTATCCATTCTGGTGGTACTTTCATTGTGGTTTTAACTACATTTCCCTAATAAATAATGAAGTTGAGTATTTTTTTCATATGTGCTCTTTTTATAAAGTGCCTATTTAAGTTTTGCCCATTAATGAAAATGGGATGTCTGTTTTTTCCTTATTAACAATTTCCTTATTAATTGCTAACAGTTTTTATATTTTGAATATGAGTCCCTTTTTTTGGGTTGTATATATTATAATACTTTCTTCCACTTTTCATTCTCTTGATATCTTCTGATGTCATTCATTCATTTTAATGAAATTCAATTCATCTATGTTTTCATTATGATTACTGCTTTTTGTGTTCTTTGTAAGAAATTCTTTCTTACCCAACAGGAAGACTTTCTCCTTTACGCTCCACTGTTTTATATTTTGCATTTAGGTCTACAAGGCAACTCAAATAAATTTGCATGTATGATGTGATATGAGTCAAGGTTTATTTTTAAAATATGGACCCAACTGACCTAGCATCATTTATGGTAAAGATAATTCCTTCCGTACTGAACTGCAGTGGTGCCTTTATTATAAATGAGGTGATTATGAAAAATTGGTTTGTTCCTGGACTCTATTTTGTTTCATCCATCAAGTTGATTATTCTTATGTTGATTACACATTTTTAATTACTGTAGCTTTATATAAAGTCTTCATATCTTGTAGTACAATTCTTTCCTTACTGTTCATAGACTTTCCACTGACTAAAGCACAAAGTACAAGCTTCTTGGTAGGAGACACATAAGGCTCTCTTTTTCAGAGTTCAAGCTTTTACCAGTAACCACAGGGTTTAATACTTGGAACTGGAGGCATTAAATAAATATATGATGATATTAATTTGGCTGAAGCGTGACTGTTTATGAGTCCTCAAAGTAACAAAAAGCAAAGTGAAATACCAGCATTACCACACCATATCCCTACTATGAAACCAAAAGATATAGATCTTTATCATAAAGAGTTAATGCCATTTTTACAAAAAAAGTCTCACTGAATGGGAAAGGCAAGGAACATGTTGGTGGTGATACCTGTGCTTCCTGAAACTCCTTTACACAGATTATCATGTTCCTATTGCAAAAGCATGTGAGCATTAAAGGAGGGAGAGATGAGAGAGATGAAGGGGAGCTTTCCCTAGAGGAGACCGTGTCCCTCGCCTCTTCCTGGCATGGAGTTTTCAGACTACCTCTGAGTGATTCTCAGAGCACCCTGAGGTAGCATCCTCTGTAAGGCTAGGTTTAGAGTCCAGTTTTCAAGAGGCTATCCTAGAGGGAGAAGAGAGACAGTCTACAAAGTTATCTAATCTATAGTTTTGCTAGCACTGCTTAAATTGCTTTCGCAGAAGTATCAGTGTACTTCATGGTTGGAAAAGGATTTTTTTCTGTGTGGACAGTGAGAGCAATGATTTTCAAGGATGCTTGCCAAGTTCTGCAGCACAGAAAAGGCCGGTGAATGCTCTTGCATTATGATTTAGTGCTATCTGATGAGAAGGCAAAAAAAGGGGGCCTTAAAAATATTTTACCAGGTCTCTAAATATTCTCTACATTTTGATTTTCACAAGCACATATTTAACTCTGAATAGTCTTGAAAATACCTTTAATTTTGCCTTTTTTTGAGCCTCGAGAGCAATCTTTCTTAGATCCTCGGCCTCTTTCTGTAACTGTTCATTTTCTTGCTGAAGTTTTAGCCTTTGTTCACTGACTAATCCACAGTTCTCTCTCTCAGACTCCAGGACATTTTGAAGTTTCTGAATCATTTCTTGGCAACGGGATATCTCTTCCGAGGAACTGATTAAAAAAAGAAAACAAAAGAAACTTACACTTAATGATATGTAATGGACTTAAAGAAGTCTATTTATATTTCACAGCAGAGAGTTCTTCTTTGTTCTGAGCCATTTCTCTTCACTGCAGACTTAACTGCGTGGTGTCACAATGCTATGTCATGCCGGGAAAACACATTCAACTTAGCAATCTTGACTAAGACTAGACAAGTTGAACTGTTACCACTCACCTAGAAAATCTATATGGGACTTCTTTCAAGTTTTTACTAACATTGAGAATCACTATGTAAAGAGGACTTCGAGGGGACAAACTGAGACTGATGGTAAGACAGATGAAGTAGGTAATAACCCAAACTTTGTTTACATCAAGCAACCCCATAGAAAGCCATCAGCTGACCATATTACCAAATTACAATGCCTATTTCGTATTTTCCTGTTATATGTCTTAGAAACGGTTTTTATACATTTCTAGTTCTATAAACTTCTTATTTAATCATAGTTTAAATATGTTGTTTTTTAAACTTTCTCTACAATGGATTGTTCTCTACAACCTCCAAGCATGTATATTGCTAATTTTTATTCCTCTTATTTTAAATCTCTATCTTTTCAATCCCAGATAATAAAATACTGTGAACATTCCCTGGTCAATACAAGGCCCTCATTTCCCATAATACTTGTAGA